AGGGTCAACGCCCAGGTCCACCTTGGGGTAATAAACCAATGGACTCCTGCTGATTCTAGCCCCTTTGCCCATCTCGCGGTGAAGCAACGGGCAAGCCAACGCAACTCTTCTGCCGGAGCCAAGTCCCAAAGACCTAAATTTGAGTTGGACCTTTGGACCAACGGGATCTGTATCCACCATTAGTTTCCAGCCCGCAGGAACCGAACCAACACAAATATGTGGTCCCCAGTTCCTTGACTCTGACCCCTTTGGGTTGGCCATTTTAGTGGGGCCACTCAAGAACCGGAAGCGGGTTGGCCCACTCAAATGAGAAGTCTGATCCCAAGGCACACCTCGACCTTCCGGTTTTTGTGGTTTGATGTCCCGGCTCGAGATCCAAAAAACGACATGCTCATCTCGATCTAAACGGCTGATTTCTGAATGGACATGGCCGCCTGGGGTTTTGGCCTTCCGGCTTTTTCTTCGCATTTCCCGCCTAGAACCGCTCAAAACAGTGCTTCTGCTCATGTTTTCCGCAGATGAGCAAATGCTTAAAGCCTCAGAGCCCAAAGAAGTGAAGCGGAAGACGCAGGTCGACCCTTGCCCCAATTTCAGTCTTGGGCATGTTCTCGGGGCTTGCTTTGGGCCCCCCCAAACTGAATCCTGCGGGAAAGGTTCGGAGTGCTCTTTTGGGCCAGGGTGCAGTAACGACTTGAGCTGCCGGATTTCAGCCTCCATGTAGGTCTGGAATCGGCCTGTGGAGAACCGCCCAAAACCAACAAACTAGCCAGCCAATCAACAAAAAAACAGAAACAAACAAACACCCCAAGAAACCGCGAAACAAAGAACTGCAACAAAACACGACAAAACCAAACAAGCACACGCAAAAACACACACGCAAAAAGAACACTCGTGCACACCACACAAGGCACGAAGAACACACCTACACAACACGCAACACACACACACAGAACACAAAAAACAAAACACAAGCATATACACATCTACACGCGCAAGCACACGTGCGTATACATATATAATATATATATATACCTGGAGCCCACATGTCCCTCGTTTTTGTAGGCCTTTCAAAAAACTGGTTTTGGTTCCTGATGTGGCATCTCAATTGAGCTTTGCACAAATCATAGTGAAGTTTTATACCAAATGATGAGATTTGACCAAGAAGCGTTGCTGTTCGGGTTGTTGAAATGACGCGTAAGCGACAAAGGGCAATGAATTCCAAGCATCAGCTCCTAGCATCGAATTCGAAGCAGTCTCTTTCATTCAACCCCAAGGAAAAAGCAGACTATAACTCCAGGATGCTAGCCTGGAAGTATTGACGATTCCCAAGGTAAACTTCAGTGTTACACGCAAGCAACTTGCACATGACCACGTCAGTCAAGTATGCCACTTCTAATCCTGCTAAAGACATGCCATTTGCCAGACTATCCCTAGCTAAAGAGCTGTTGTTCTTGATTAAACTAAAGCGCTGATGCGCACACACACAGCACCGACATGAATTCAACAACCAACCGAAACGTTTCATAGACAGCCTTGGTCTGCTTCATTCCTGCCTTGGACAGCCCAGCTTTACCCGCTGACATTGAACACGTGCAGGTATGTATGGTAGCTGCACCTTGCAAAAAGTCAATCCTTGCATCCTCCAACGCGGGAGCGCCTAACGACTCGCATTTTGCTGCGCTGATGCAAGGAACAAGGGAGCCCACTCACGCACAAATATGTTTTCATCATACTGAGACACTTACTTTCAGGCCTTTACACACAAACAAACTGAGCACGCTGTCCAGAAGCAAGGCTCTTGGGGGAAAAATATACCCTCTACCTTTTCACCCACTACAGCAAGCTTCCTCTCAGCTTTGCAAAGGTTTCATTTCAGTCTTGCAAGTGTGCCCACATCTCCTAATGCTGGCTTTCGATCTTGGAATACTTGCTTTCGGCAAACTTCGTGAGATTTGTTGGATTTCCGCAGATCGTGCCGAATACGTACAAGATACGTCTAAAATACGTATAAAATACGTACTGAGTACGTACTTTTGGTACGCCAAGCCACTACCCGTACAAGAGGCGTATTTTTGCGTACAACGGGCGTAATTTTTGCGTACAAAGGGCGTATTTTTGCGTACAGAAATACGTACAAAGTACGTATTCTGGCATGTTTCTTGCATGTTTGCGGTTTGAGCATTCTTGCTCCCAAACGCTTTTGTTTGCAACATCGCCCCTGCGCCAAACCAATTCCGGCGCTGTTCTGAAAGCAGGCTGTTCCAAGAATTCAGGGAAACGACCGCAATTTGCACCCACATTGGCTTTCGGGATTTGATGGCTTGCTTAGCATTCTGGTGCCTTGGGTGGAGTGCAGGTGCAACAACATAGATTGCATCTATAGGGGGTTGGCTTGCTGTTGATTGGCACAGTCCTGGGCACTTTGGATGTCAACCAGCAATCTTTTCTTTGTGATGTTGCACTTAGACACGTATGGTTCAAATTCATGCTGCCGCTTGTTGACTGCTAGCGCTGCTGCAACGCGGCTTGTTGATAGGATTTTCCTTTCAGCTGTGATACTTGTCGGGCGCATACCAATGCACGAGCGCATTCTTGCATTTACGCGGTGGTTGTTGCAGTGTTGGACTGGCACACGCTTGCTGCGCAAGTCCGCAACAATCAGTAACCAAAACACGTAGCACCTGCGGTCCAATACCCAATTAAAAGCAGATCTGCAAAATGAGTTGTGTGTGTGTGTCTGTGTGTGTGTGTCCGGTGTGTGCGTGTGTGTGATGTGTGATGTGTGATGTGTGTGTGATATATAGATATATGTATATATATATGTATATATACCTGGAGCCGGTTTGTCCCTCATTTTTGTGTCTGGCCTGTTTTCTTGATTGACATTTCCTAAAAATACGCCCCCTTCCGAAACAGCGCGTCTCTGTCGAAATGTTGTTTGCTCCACGTATACACCTTTGCTTTACTTTGAATTCTCGAGCATGAGATGGAATATGACTTTATTGGGCGAAACGGCTAACAGCGCGCTTACGCTCTCACGCTGCTCCAACGAACCACGTGTGGAAAACATGTGGCCCACCCACATGCCCAAGAGCCCGCTAAACGTCCAGATTTCTGCTGCCTAGGCCTGCACTTGCAACGGCTATCAACGGCTATTTCAACACGATGTGCTATTCAGTGGTTTTGTCAGAGCGGGAAAGACTACAACACACACACACACACACACACAAACACACACACACACACACACACACACACACACACACACACACACACACACACACACACACACACACACACGCGCACACACACACACACACCACACACACGTGTACACCACACACACACACAAATTTACACCACACACACACACATTAGACACCACACGCACACACATCCGCTCACACCCGCACCCGCACCCGCATCCGCACACGCGGACGCGCTCGCGCACGCACGAGCATGCACGAGCATGCGCAGGCACGCCACTACGGCCGCCCGCACGGCCGCCCGCCCGTGCACCCGCCAGCCCGGCCGCTCATATGAAAGCGCACGCGTGCACGCGTGCACTCACGGCGCGCGCACACGCATGCAAGCACACGCATACACGCACGCACAGCAAACTCTCAAACTCATAGAGGAGACACACACACACACAGAGCGCACAGCACAGCACTAAAAAATGATATCACGAACAAGGGGCCCCCTATGTTTGGAAACACCAATAACATGCGTCACTGGAGCTTCCGCATTGACAAGTTGGCGTTTTACCCGTGCCCTAGGGCCCAACCCCCATGAAAAGAATGGTTTTCCGCAATTTGGATGATGACCATCCTTGGGTAACCATTGGTGTGGGTATATGAACCTGCTCCTTGGAAGCTTTCCAGCTTTCCCGGCCTTGCGAGCGAATAAGCCAGTTCTGGTCGTGCATGAGGCGGCCGATGTCGATGGCCGTGGCTGGACCGCGCAAGCGTAAGCAGCCCAGCAGGAACTCCTCGGCCTCGACCTGACGCGAAAACCCTCGCGTTGGTTTTCTCGGTTGCTTTCTGCTCCCCTGCTAAAAGTTTAACTTTTAGTGGTTTAATCGCACGCTTGTTCGATCCGCTTGCCTCTACGGCCCGCTATGTGCAGCCGGAGACTCCTGACTTTTAGTGGTTTAACTTTTAGTGGTTTAATGGAAAACACATGAGTTGGCAAAAAGTCAACGTCCTAACATCCAAGCAACATGCACCAAAGTTTTAGGCTCGCACAGGGCTCCTTCCCGAATGGCCGGGGGGGACCCAAATTTGGATGACCATAACCCCCATTGATTTAATGGAGAACTGGAATGATCCGTCGAAGAGGATTCCCGAACTTAGGAAACCATAGGAAATGGATGGTTTGTAAGGGCCATTCCAATTCTCATTCCCTGAGAACCAGCAAGTTTAGCAGCCTCCCAGTTTGGATGACTCCGGGACCTCAATTTTTCACCCATACTCCTTATGCATGTGCAAGGCATTTTGCGCTTTTCTGCGACCGGGGGGGGGCCTTTCAAAGAGTCCCTCAACCTTAAGATCTCGCCCGCGGCGGCGCTCAGACGAAAGTTTCCACGGGCCCCATTCTGGAAAAATCAAGAAGCAAGCCGACGAAGATGCTTGGAGGTGCATGCCAAACCATAGACATGTTCGCACATGCATGTATGCACCATTAAAAGAATGGTTGACCCAATTTGGATAATGACAATCCTTAGGTAAACACTGGTGGGTATGTGAACCCCCATTTTGTTTGGTGGATTGAACCCCAGGGTATGTGCTTGTGTTTTTGGGTGTCTGTGTGTTTGTGTGTTTGTGTCTGTGTTTTTGTGTGTTTGTGTCTGTGTCTGTGTGTGTGTGTGTGTCTGTGTTTTTTGTGTGTTTGTGTGTCTGTGTGTCTGTGTGTTTGTGTCTGTGTGTTTGTGTGTCTGTGTGTCTGTGTGTGTGTGTCTGTGTGTCTGCGTGTCTGTGTGTGTGTGTGTCTGTGTGTGTGTCTGTGTGTGTCTGTGTGTGTCTGTGTGTGTCTGTGTGTGTGTGTGTGTGTCTGTGTGTGTGTGTGTGTCTGTGTGTGTGTGTGTGTGTGTGTGTCTGTGTGTGTGTGTGTGTCTGTGTGTGTCTGTGTGTGTGTCTGTGTGTGTCTGTGTGTGTCTGTGTGTGTGTGTGTGTCTGTGTGTGTGTGTGTCTGTGTGTGTGTGTCTGTGTGTGTCTGTGTGTGTGTCTGTGTGTGTGTGTCTGTGTGTGTGTGTGTGTCTGTGTGTGTGTGTCTGTGTGTGTGTGTCTGTGTGTGTCTGTGTGTGTCTGTGTGTGTGTGTGTGTCTGTGTGTGTCTGTGTGTGTCTGTGCGTTTCTGTGAGTGTCTGTGTGTGTCTGTTTGTGTCTGTGTGTGTGTCTGTGTGTCTGTGTGTCTGTGTGTCTGTGTCTGTGTTTGTGTTTGTGCTTGTGTTTGTGGTGGTGTTGGTGTTGGTGTTGGTGTTTGTGTTCGTGTTCGTATTCATGTTTGTGGTTGTGGTTCTGTTTGTGAGGAAGGCCCTATGGAATTTGGGCAACAGACCTGAACATTGCAGATATCCCCTGTCAGTTCCCGATGAAAGGGACGCAGGCATCTTGGCTTTCTCTCTCCAAGCAACGATTTTTCCCTTTCGCTCGCGACATCCCTCCCACGTGCCTCGCCCCCGCCATCCGCGTCCAGCAACTTAAAGAAAGTCCATGCATCCCAAATGTCGAGCCCGAGCGAGGTAAAGTACTCCCGCACCTGGGCTCACAGATTTTGGCCCAGCTTCTTTTTGTTTCCCGGTTTTGGGCAGAGGTTTCGGACTTTTGGAGCAGCGAAAGATTTGTTCCCTTCTAGCTTCCCTTTTCCCCGCAAAGGTATCAGGTGCACCAGTCATTCAACTTTGGACAATGTCAGCCTGCCTTTCCACGTTTTGGATAAAGCCATGGAATGACCAAAGACCGCCCACCCAAAAAGCAGCACGAAGGAATCCGAGCAACACAGGATGCACCCGAAATGAAGGGGCATTGAAAGAAAACTTGACTAGTAGAGTGAGAAAGCAATCCACCCATGGTCTTCGCTCGGCTTCTGTTGCATTCATTAAGCCTCCAAGATTCATTGACCTTACCGGGAAAAGAATTGGAGGTGTCCTGACATTTCGGCGCGCCCTCCTTTGGATGATTTGGCAAGGGACACCGACAGAAGCCAAAAACAGTCGGGACCCTTAGGGAGCAAGCCAAACCAACACAGGCCCTCAATTCTACCAAAGGCGGAGGAAGCTTCAAACGGCCAAAATCAACCTCCCTCAATGCGCCAGGCGAATATTTGTGCCATAGAAGATGGAACACCTCCAAAAATAGATCCATGGGATGAAAATAGATTAAACTAATCTACAAAAAGGCCAAAACCAACCTCCCAAACAATATCATGGCTGACTCTCAAACTGGCGGCCTTCCACATCGTCGCATTTTGTTGGTCTGGGCTCAGCGGGGTTCCAGTTGGGAATGAGGGCAATGCATGCGCGTTGGGGAGAACCAACGGCCCAACCCCAGGATGGCGTCTTCCAATTTCCAATGTGAGATGTCTAACCTCCTCTAGGTCCTCCAGTGGAGAGGTTAGAAGAAGGGTACCAACTTTTTTCTGTAGTCTATTGTAGGGGAATCCTCCCCCAAAAAAGAAACGGTAAAAGCGTACTACTGGGGGACCTAGTCCTAATCGGAATGATACTGCAAAGGTTCCCCTCCCACTTCGCATCAACATCCTTTTCCTTTGAAATGGGGGTCGGCTCTGCAAATGGTTCTCATCTCCAGCGCCACCTGCCTTCTCAAGATGAGGTCTACAAAGCGATGTGTCACATCTGAAAGCATGCAAAGACCACTACAAAGGGCATTGGGTCCCTTCAATACTATTTTTGGTAAGCCCCAAAAAGAATTCAACTCAGTGGTTCATATATGGGTGCGTCTTTTTTAGGGGACCCCCAAAATGAATGGTGGTTGTCTTCCCGGTTTCCTTGTAAACCACAAAGAAGGGACACCCTCAAAAAAAAGAGCTCCATATTCCAGATCTCGGCCCTTGCACCCGCTTTTGTCTTTCGAAAGGTGACCCGAACACATAAAGACCAAGCGGGCGAAAAGTCCGCTGAGCAACTGGTATCCTTTTTCCCAATGCGCATCCAAACAACTCCTACAACTACCTGGAGTCTCCATGACCCTTTAAAAGTGGGTCCATGACCCATTTATGTTGGGTAATGACCCCATTTCAAAGGGTCACGGAGACTCCAGGTATAGGTTTCGTTGCCTTCCTAATACCAACAAAAAGGCCCGTTCGACCGATTTCGGACTTCGGAACGAACGCTGTCGTCGAGAAGGCGCCGCTTCAGTGTGAATCTTCTCGTTGAAAACACTGAAGGTGATTGGGGCGTCCTGACGGAGAGTGTGTTTGAGTGCACCTGTTTTGGGCTTGTTCAATAAGAAGCCACATATCAAAAACCGGATTGCGGGTCCAGGTTGCGCGCTGAAGGGGAGGAGGGAAGGGGCAAAGGGAAACCGAACGGAATCCGCCAGTGACACGGGTGCCCAATCTCGACGGCGCGAGATGAACATTTTCGGAACATGCGAGACTGAGAATCCAACCAGCATTCGGGCAGCCGTGAACCATTGCCTACAGGGTTTGTTGTTTCCTCTGAAATTTGGCTTGGGTTTGTTTTCCAGGTCCAGTTGCGTTGTCACAAATGGGTACCCTTTTCGGGCCATGGTTTATGTGGGGGCCCGCCTTTTTCCTATGGGTCCTTTTGAAGGATCCATATGTTTGACCAACCGCCCAGCGAAACTTTCCAAGTTCGAAGCCGAGCTCGGGCTCCGCGAGTCGGATCGATTTTCCGAAACCTCAAGAGCTGAGCGACTGTGGAGCCCTGAAGGACCAGCGCTTTGTCTTTGGGCCCCCTTGGTGGTTTTCAACTTCTGGTTTCCGTTTTTTAACCAACCCCAAGAAGGGTGTTTTCCAAAAAACAATCACACACACAGACTTTTCGTTGGTTCCTCTTTTAACGGAATGGAGTGACCCCCCTTCGACTGCGCGGCTTTGATTGGCGCAGGCCCTGCACACGACAGGCTTTGCATCTCCAACTCCCTTCTATCCTTTCATGGTGGGCTTCACCAGTCTACTTCCGTGGATTGACCCCCAAACAGGTCAAACTTTTGTTTTACCTGGAGTCTCCTTCTGACCCTTTAAAAATGGTTGGTCATTACCCAAAATGATTCGGGGTCATGGACCCATTTTTATTTAAAGGGTCAGAAGGAGACTCCAGGTACCACTTTTTCTCGTCCTCAACCCAACAAAATCTCTCAAGTCCGAACCGCAACTCAGAAAGCGACGGGCCCAAATTTCCATCCGCCCCAACAGCAACGCTCCAGGCTTCCAATTTTCGCGCGCCAACCCGCGGGAGAAAAACAAAAAAAAACGCGATCGATCGATCCCGGTGCGCACACCTCGATCCCCGCCTCCCCGGCCCCAAGCTGATTGAAGAGCTCCCGCACCTTTTGGAGATGGGCCTCCTGGACGCTTGGCTTTGGACCTTCCCTGGATGGGCCAACAAAAATCGATCCGTTCTTGTTGGTCGTGGTATTTACCACTAACATGGGAACCAAACCCAAGTGACTAAAGTCCATGAACTCAGGAACTGGGTCCAAACAAAACACAAACTGCTTTCATGCACCACTAAAATGGTAACCACACTCAAAAAGTGACTAAAGTCCATGAACTCAGGAAGTGAGACTTGGGTTTGGAGGTTTTGTTTGTCTCATGGACCTATGGTATGCGTGGCTTCCTTCTAAAAACAAAAGCTACTACTCCAAGAATCATCCATGGTGTGCAAAGAATACAATAGTTCCAAAAGCTGAATTAAGAGTTGGATTTGCAAGTAAAGGACCTTTATCATGGCCCGTTTTACCCCCGAATCGGTGAGCTCGCCCTATTTTTTTGAGAATGGGTGGGTTCCTGTAGTTTTCGATAAACAACAACCCCAAGAATGGGGTACACTCCAAAGAAAAAACACACACACACACACCATGAACATGATTAAACATCGCAAAAGAGGATGGCTAAGGCTTGAGTGTCGAAAAAAGGGATCGAGCCATGTGGGGGCACAACGGGAACATGGCCGGTGTTTTGGCCATATTTTGGCACTGTCCGTTCTCAGCACCTAAAGAAAAATACAGCGAGGTGCAACTATCACCTGCGCTTAGCATGTTCACCTCCAAGGTTGCACAGAAACATCCTCTTAAAGCAGCAATTAGGAGCCGATGATACTCTGTGGATGGACAAGTTGCAGCAGGGCGCTATGAATATTGAGATACAGCAACAGCTGCAGGATTTGTCCACCCCGTATCACGAGGATCGCTTGTTGAAAAAGACTTCCTATGTTTGTCAATGGCTGCCAATAGGGGCCCCCCCAATCGAATAGGGACCAATAGCGACTGATAGGGTCTATATTTCCAAAAAGTGGCTCCTTTTGGGGACCATTTCCACTTCTTCGTTCCATTCACATCGTCTGAAAGGAGGTAGACCATGCGTATCAGCTTACCTGCGCGACATACGAGGCAAGGGTCAATGAAACCAGAACATCGCTTGCCATCCATGTAGGCCCTTGGCAAACAAATGTGAGCACTTGCAGCCGCATCCACACCAACGAACAAAAGATGGCAACCGCCCTCAACTCAATGCCAAGCTTAGTGGGCTTCGCACGCCGGTGAAAGCAGTCCCCAACTGGGTTGAACAAAATTCCATTAAAGGCCTCAAAATGACCACGGGACACTTTTCCCATTCAGTGGTGAAAGTCATCGCTTTTGGTGGCGTCCCCAATGGTAACCCCATGTTTATGGACCCTCTGATCAATCCCCAACTGTTGAGGCCGAACCCTCTCTGCCGATTCGTGGGCGACTCGGTCCTTATCAGCCAAAACGGATTGGACGGCTGTGATGTGGTCGTTCTGCGCGCCTTCGATCCTAAGTTCATGGGGGCTGGGAAGGGAGGAGAGGGGGGAGAGAGCCCAACTGAGCTCTTATTAAGCCCTTAATAAAAATAAGGCCGTATTTAGGGCTTGTTTGGGCTTCCTCCCCCTCCCCCCCAGCCCCCATGATAAGCTCAAAGACTCGCCCAATTCTTGACCCGAGTTTTGTCGCCATTGGGTTGGCCACTACATATGGGTCTGTTTTTCTTGTTTAGGAATCGCAGCCCCCAAAATGGACGGGCTTTCTCAACTTTTGGGAAACCCTTGAAAACCACCAAGAAAGAGGTACCACAAGAAAAAGGCAGGCCCCGTATAGACCAAATCAGGGAAACCACAAAAGGTCAAGAGGTTGACTTTCGGCAACTGAGCTCGATGTGATCCATGTTGACCAGCCGGGATTGGTAAGGGGCACCGATGCAACCAGTGAACAACGAAGTCTCAGTTTGGTGGTTGAACACTTGCTGTTTGACGAGGTACTAAATACGGGGGCCTAGCACAAAATCAAACAACTCCATCCTGTTTGTTCTTTTCCTCGAGGACAAATCAACAATAAAGGACAATCTAGCAGTCAGTAAAATGAAGTCTCAGCTTTGGCGGTTGAACAGTTGCTTGAGTTGGCTATCAAGACTCTTCAAAGCACCACATTGGTGCTACTGGTACCTTAATCGCGAAACGGTGCATCCTTTACGCCGCATAAGGATTAGTGCCAAAATGGGAGGATTGCCCAGCTCCACTGGGCAGCTCCCCTCAGCAGCTGATGGGAGTAGAATTGATGCCACTCCCACAGCGAGGGAGGAATCCTCCCACCTCACCGGATGCCCTCCCGGCATCATGGGTGAGGAAGGAAAGTAGCGAAGATCAGCTTGATCAATTCGCTTTCGACTGAGGGGAAGACCCGGTTCTCAGTCGGAAATTGCGGGTCCGGATGAGTAAGTTCATCCGCCCATGTGTTAAAGTCGCGCTTCACATGCGACGGTCCTAACATGACCTGGTGGTCATGCAGTGTTAACACAATTTCCATGAGGATGGCCGCATTGGGCATCCTGCGAGTGGAATCGTTAAGCAGGGAGAAAACGTTTCCCTGGTTATCACTAGCAACCAGAATCCTAGTGTGAGAAGCCGAGCCGGCTGCACAAAGCAGAACAGCCCTCACCAAAAGGAGGAGGCCGAAGAGCTCCAAGGCCGCTATCGCCCGCTGCGGGTCCCCAGTAGTGAAGGCCCACGGCTCGCCCTCCGGTGTGATTCTGTGTTGGAACCACTTCACTCGGGACTTGTCGGGGTTGGGCACGTCCGAGCACCAACCACCAACCCATGCATGGTCCGCCTGTTTGCCAGCTCCCGCATCAGATGCCCCCGTCCATGGAAGTGTGGGAGCAAATGGAGATGCCAGTGGGAACCTCTGGTTGAAGAGCTTCCCCAGAAGGATGGCCAGAGCACGAACCAGCTTCGGTGGCCTGCCCGAAGTGGTGCAGGCCTTCTTCCAGCTCCAAAAGGGCTGGAGGAAAGGTTTCGTCAATGGACACGCCGAAGTAGCCCATTGAATCCGGCCCAGGGCTTGTTCCACCTCCTTGCTGGTAAAGATGTCCCCCTGGGCCAGCCGTTTGAGAGTGGCCAGGATTATGACGTGCTTGACTGGAGCCAGCAGCACACAGGGCGTGATTGGGTCCACCACGAATCCCAACCAGGTATTGACCGGGGAGAGCGCCGTCTTCTTCCAAGAAAGCGGGACTCCCAGCGCCAGAAGAGTGGCCAGGATGGCTGTGGCGTCCCAGTCCGCCCTGCTGCATCTGAGGACCCAGCAGTAGTCGTCCACAAAGACTAAGTGCCAGTCCACCTGAGGGAAGATGTAGTACAAGAGTCTGAGCACCAAGGATGCCTTTCTTCCCCAGTACAGTTGTGCCGAGGCCATGCCGTACGTGCCCACTCTATTGACCCACCACCGGTTCTGGATGCAGGCCACCTGGTATTTCCAGTCTTTCTGGAGCACTTTTATGCGCCTGTGGGCCTTGGTGACATCCGCCTTGAGGATGATGAAGGTTTCCCCCTGTGTCGGCGGCTGCCACGTCAGGGGTTCCCCCCTGCTCCCCCCAGGGCGTTCCGTGCCTGGGGGGGTTGGGGGGAATGGGGCCTGGGAGTGGCCCTGACCGCGGAGAGACGTCCACCGCCGGCATCATCCGCCTGCCCCTATCAGGGCCCTCGGCACCTGGGGGCAGGCTGGTGCTGTGGGGGTCCCTCTCAGGGCCCTCAGCACCTGGGGACTGCCCCTGCACCGGCTGGTGAACATCCCGAGGTTCCTCATCAGTGCCCGAGGATGGGGCTCGGAGTAGATGAGGATGGTCCGCCGCTGTCCTGAGCCAGTGGATGGCATGGAGGCAGTCTCCAACCATCGGTGCGGTGGTCTTCTCCTCCGTGTGAGCCTGGATGTGTGCGTTTGCTCCCCCTTTTGAGCCATCATAGATCGTCCTGATCTTGTCCGACTCATCAATCCCTGCAAGGGGGCCCGGGCAAAGTTCCTCCGGTTTGCAGCGGCACCTCTCTGCCGCCTCGGAGCGAGTGAAGGGCCCGTCCACCATGTCCAAGGCTCGTTCCTCGTAAAAGGTTGATTCGATTTCCTTGGCAAAGAGTTCAGCCGTTGGGTAGTTATCATGAGCCACTGGCGGGGGGGGATCTTCCCCCAGCCAGGCTTCTCCCTTAAGCTCCTCCTTAGTGGGCCAAACTCCCGGGGAGGTCAAGGTAGGGTCCGAGACTCCCAAGGGGACCCCCTCTTTCAGTGTTAGGGGGAACTCCCAATCAGGGTCACCTGAAAGGGATGCCAAGTGCGACACTAAGTCCAGTGCCTCGGTCCTAGATAGCCCGCAGCTCCTCGAGGTCGGCTTCCTGGAAGGGGTGTGTGGTGGCACCTGATGCCAGGGACATTCGGACCTTGTCAATCCAGTCTCTTTTAAGAAAATTCGTGCCCTTTTTTGGCAAAAAACCCCAAAAAACGGCCAAATAGTGCCTGGTAGTAAGAAACAGCGTTTTTCCTCTGTATTACGTTTGGGAGTAATGTCGTATGAAATCGCGGCCAACGAAGTCCTCAAGGTCGGGTGGTCAAAAATTCGTGCCATAGAAAAGTTTAAAGCCAAAAACCCCCTTTTGGCACGAATTTTCTTAAAAGAGACGGGGTTTGGCTTTAAACTTTTCTATGGCACGAATTTAAAAATTCGTGCCAGAAAAAGAGACCCCGGAGCGGTAGCGACACGCTCGTGGGAACTGGGCCATATAGGCTAAGGGTCGTTTTTTGGGGTTTTTTGCCCTTTTTTGGCAAAAAACCCCAAAAAACGGCCCTGGCCGGAATGGCACACCCCTCGGCTTGTCTATATGGCGGGCTAGCCCCTTTTGGCACGAATTTTCTTAAAAGAGACGGGTTTTTGGCTTTAAACTTTTCTATGGCACGAATTTTCTTAAAAGAGACGGGTTTTTGGCTTTAAACTTTTCTATGGCACGAATTTTTGACCAGCGGCCGGGTAAGGGTCATGATCAGGGCGCCCAAAGTAGCCAATGGGGAAATTCTCCGAAAAGGGGGGTTGAGCCTCCCTGGGGAAGGTTTTCCCCCCCCATCCCTCAGGGGGCGTGAGCGGAAACCCAATTGGACAATCGCCACCCGGTCAGTGAGGTGTGGGACCCTGAAAGCGGGCAGGCATTCGGGGCGGTCCAGGACCTGGTCCCCCTGTCCCTCCTTCCCCAGTTGTTCCGCATCTCCGGCCATCGGGGGCATGGGAGATGGGAAGTCTGGGTTCATTGTTCCACGAGGGCTTACGGTGTCTGCCTCAGGGTGGAACTGCCCGTGCAGGCGGGGCTTCGGGGCGTTCTTGCCTCCGGGCTTTGAGCCCTGGTGTGATGAGGAGGGACCGCCTCCTTGACTGGGCCCCCGTTTTCCCTGGGGGGAATGGCCTTCCGGGGGGTCCGACCCCCGCCCCTTAGGTGGTTCCTTGGGGTTTCCCGGAAATTGTGAGGGGATCCGGATGTGCCCCGGCGCTGCGAGTGACACAGCGATGGCTTTGGCCAGGCCTGCCATCATATCCCAAGGGTATCTGCTAAGAGTCGAGGACTCGTTGGTGCCCACATGTGACTGATGCGTGCACCGCATTTGATCCCAGTCCTGGATCGGGAGATCCGTGGCCAGCGTAGTGGCCTTCTTGACCAGCTGGCCCAGGCGGCACTGGTCGAAGGAGATTGCTGTCAAGGAGTTCTCCTCCATCCAAAGCTGCCCCTCCTCTGTGATCCAGAAGGATGAGCATTCCTTGGCTTTGGGCAGCGAGCTGCTCACCACTGGGTCCTCCGGGTGTTCCAGGAAGGACCTGGGCCCTGGCAGAGAAACCGCCGCTCGTGAGGCCCTTGCCAGGCTGGTGATGTACATCTGTCTCAGAATGAGGATGCTGTCATCATCAAGTTGAGTCTGGGCGGCCTGGTCCAGGTGTGGAAGGCCCCAAAGTGTCTCTGGAGTGCGCCCTCGCACCGGGGTGGGAGCCCCCGGTTTTGGTATGTGGCGCAGGATGGACCATGTCCTGCAGTTGGGTCCTCCTCCAATGAAGACCACTCGGCCCTGCTTTGCTGCCGTGCAAAGAGCTCCATACAGCTCGGGTTGGAGCATATCGTGGTCCCCTTTTGGTCCAGACCGTAGGATGTCTACCGCCACCACCATGCTGGAAAGGTGTGGGTAGTTGGCATGAAGACAGCTGTCCAAGGAAGTTGGGTCTTCCTTGCCTGCATAGAGCAGGACAATGATGGGCCCACTGGATGGAACTTTGGGCGATGTGCCCTGTGTCCATCTCAGCCGCTGTACCAGACGCTCAGGGATGTTCTCCATCCACGGGAAGATGTCCAATCCCGGTGACGGCTCCGTTGGACTTGTCAGGGGGGTAGCTGAAAGGCGTTGGCCCCCTTCATTCAGCCCCACCGAGCTCTTGTGGAAAACCACCGGGTCCTGCTTGATGATGTTGGGCGCCGGAAGTG